AAAGAGGGAAGTCAAAAACTGAGCGTCTATCGTAGGAGTCATTAGCACTGGCTGTTTAGATTGAGATGTGTGACGTTGCGCAGTGAGACGAGGCAAAGGTAGCAAGCCGTATGCCAGAATGAAGATCTGCTTCATCGAGATTCAGGCTGAAACGAAACCGATAGAATACAAATATTAATCTTTGCTGAACTGTTTAATGGCATTAATAAATTATTCTAAAAACGAAGTCTTACGTTCAATTTCAGTGTTGCAGCGAGTACCGCCAGGACCGCATCCGAAACAGTGGTGCAACTGAGGTTCAGTTTACGCAAATGGCGTAACTTCTGCAGATGGAGGAAGGATTCGGTAGCAACGCGATTGGCACAGCGCGAAACGTCCAACGTCCTTAACTGGGGGCAGTGATTGGAGATCATTTCGATCGCCGTGTCATTCAGCAGGTCGTTAGCGCACAGGTTTAAATATACAAGACAAGGCAGGGTGTCGAAACTGACCAGCGAGGAACGCGCCATGAAGTCAACTGCTGTATTGGTGTACCAAGAAAAGTTCAGCACGCAAAGATGCCCCAGAGCTCGAAACGCTTCATTCAGAGCGCGCGACGTCAAACTTGTGCAATACCTTATGCCAAGTTCTTCCAGATGAGGACAATTTTGTACAATGCTCTAAAAACTTTACAATGGTAAAAAATAACAGAAAATTAATGTGGCACTAGCAACACTGTTCCAACTATAACTGCACGAAGCTTAATATGGAGATACATTATTATATTAAGAGATGCACAAACAAGTTCAAGAGTGAGGCAAAATTCCCTCAATATATAGCGGGTCACACCGGCTGACTAAGAAAACCTACAGTTCACTGCCTAGTTCCTTGATTACCATTGATTGCGTAAATAGATGACGTGGTTTATTTGTACAAGATGCTTACTGTTATTAAAATCGGCTGCTGAGCAGCATGTACTGGATAATCTCTCATTACGCGAATGATGGATCTGAATCATTGCTTTCTCTTGATTTCCAGTTCCATTAGTGATTCTGGGAAAGAAAGTTCCAAAAGTGAGAAAATCTGTAAAAGCGCAAGGTGCTTAACAGCGGAACCAGTTTATTACTATAGTGATCGTAAATATCAGCAAAATCATTTCGAAAATTTGACGGTAAAGTTCAGATAAAAGCCAAAGAGAAAGTTTGCCTGAACATCTCTCTCTCAGGTCTCTGATAGAATAAATGTTATGAAAATGAATTAAATTCATAACCAATCAGATCAATGATTCAGCATCAAATCTGTTCCATGCCAGATTTATGCTTCAGTAACGAATGAAACATGCAATGTTCCTTGTCAAATTCAACGCGTTTCCATGATCGGAATACAATTCCTTGTTTCTGTCATTCTTCTTTGCCTTTCCATTTTTGTCATAATCTCCTTTTTCATGGAAATGATCTGTAGAATCAGAATAATTTACTAGAATGACAGGTACTGTTCGAATGATCCATTCAGTGAATGATGATACTTCAGATTTAGTACAACTATAGTTGATCTACACAAACACTGCCTTTGTTTCTAAAGACCTAGCCATATAAAAAAGCAAAGACTACTGAGTATCTGAGTATCTGGGGCACTTCGATGCAAAACAATAGTACAGTATGGCATCGAACAGAACATTAGTAATATCAGTAATAACTTTTTCAAATCCATAAGCATGATAGCACTGCGACTTTTAGGCCTGAAGTTACGTAGGGTTGACATACATCAATACTGTAGAAGCAAATGACTCCTAAAAATCATTATACCATACAGCAGGTCGCGCAGGCCCTATTAATGGATATACAACGGTAGACAGCTCAAGTCAGCGACTGGTGGAAAACGATACTGTTTTAAAGGTGCTCGTGAGATAGCACTAGTAGGAAACGTACAGGTTGGAAACATTCTCACGGGTAATTCGCTGATAGTGAACGGGCATTGACTCTAGCGTTCGAAAAACAGGTACAACGCACCTCCGTCGTTGGAAAAGACTTTTGTCATGGATTTGTGTCCCATTACCTGTTTGCATTCATAATCATGAAAAAAGGTGTGCCACTGGGAAGGGTTGCGTCTCATCTCCAAATGCAGACCAATCTTTGAACGGCTAACGGATGGATTTTCATTGCCTCAGATAGGATAAACGTGCAATGTCCGAAGGTCCGCGAGCATCTCAGCAAGTTCTGAAGAAACGAATTCGAAGCAGGTTCAACTCACAATCAGGCAAGGGCCAGCGATGAAAGAGACTACTGCCGAATAACCAGCCCAATCGTTGCATGCATGCTTCCAAAACCGACTCTGCGGACGTTCTACGGCGAGGAGGAAGGTCTCACGCTGATGGAATGGAAGTCGCGCTGTGTCACTAATCCTGTCAATCATCAGCAGAGCAGACACAGTTGGTGCTCAGGTACATGAGTGAACGATGCACAACGTTGTTGTGTACCAGACACCCCCTCACCCAGATCCATCCGCAACCCAGCCGATCGGAACGATCTTGTGTTCGTTGAAGGAGGCGAACGGTACAGACCTACGAAATCAGTGTGACACATGAGAAATGAGCTGCTTAGCCTGAAGCAGGGGAAAATGTTCAAGACCTCCGCAAGAAAAGTTTAGCAGCTACCGGCGAAGATGTCTCGAATAATGAAACAACTCTCTGGAGCAGAAACGTCATAAGTTGGTCATTGAGATAACCATTCAGGAAGCTGTATCGCTCCTGAAGCGGAACTTCTGTAACCATTGGAACTGGGACTTGAAGCACTTGCTCTGTACTTTGGATCACCCACATGTAGCATACCCTAAGAGTCACCAGCCCAAGGTTCAGTTCTTTGGAGATGTTGCAGCGCAATCGAAAACTCCCTGCCCTGCGAGATGAGATAAATCGATTAGGGCAGGAAATGGATCAGATGAAGTTGGCCCATGGGGCCACATAAATGACAGCTGAAGAATTGCTGAAAAGCGAAAGGGGTGTTTTACTGAAATCGCAACTGACTAATGTTCCCGCTCGATTAATGGGCGCCATTTATAATTTTGTTAAATAATGTCCCTTAAAGTCGAGGGATATCAGGGAGGACACAAAACTCAGAACAGCCGTCGGGTATCTAGCAACTGAATACCAGGCAACTGAAAGTAAAATACGCAATCTGCCCAATTATGTTTTTAAAGACTGTCTGTCGTGTTTTTATTGACACCGGATCATCAGCGACGTCACTTTCAACATAACCGTCTAGCGATCCAGTACGCCGTCTCGATTCTGACTCAAAAGGGAAAACGAAATGTAAAAAAAGTAGATTACGTTTGGCGCGTTTACTCAATATAAAATATTACATATCACACTTACCCTGAGGGCCGGGTCGTTCACCTGCATACAGTCATTCAAGATCAATCGTTTGATGCCAGAGTGTAAATGCTGGAAGCAACGAGTCAGGCTGTGACGCTGGATTCCGGAAAGGTCAAGAGAAGTTAGCCGTTTGGAAAACGAGAGGAGATGGACGAGACCAGCCATAGTCGAATCGTCGTCGGTCAGGCTTTCGATTTTCAGCTGTCTCAGGTGGGAGCAGTGATGAGCAATGATCTTGAAACAGCCTTGGTCCACGGCGAAGCCGGTCACCTGGAAGGACTGCAGATTCGGACAGAGCTGAAAGATGACCAAAAGGGTCTGGGACTCTGCCACACTGTTGC